CTCTGCTCAGCAGTAGGTCTATTTCTCCCTCTCCCTCTGCCCCTCTGCCTGCTTGTTCTCAATCTCTCTCTCTCAAATAAATAAAATCTTAAAAAAAAACTCATAACAACTAGCACATATTCTATATAATCTTAAAGTCATGTTCTACTACATTTTGCCAACACCAAAGTATACACATCAAAGACATTTCATCTCCATAGGTATATAATTAAATATAGAAATCCCTATCTCCAGATAAATAGTGTCTCCTTGCCCCTCTTGCTCTCCCCTTGGGATGTAAATTAGGGAATTCAAAGAGATAGAAGGAGCTGAATAACAAGTTGCTGAGCCTCAGTAAAGCCACTGAGACAGGGCAGCTGTTTGCTTGGCCTTTGGTTGGTCCTCCACTTGGGACACACTGGCCATGTTCTATAATACTGATAGTCACTAGATTGTCCCTTTGGGAACAGTTAATCAGAGGTAGTCTAAAAAGCTGTCTAAACTCTGTTACTATATTTTTCTGACATAATAAGCATAACTTGTTGAACAGACCTAAATCTTTGATGAACTTACGGTGCTTCAAAATCATTATTTTGACATCAGTAACAGTCATACAGACAGTGAACCGCAGGAGATTAGACAGATGCTGTATTGACCAAAGAAAATACCCTGGAGTTTGCTTTTTGACTAAATTTTTGATATGCGTTAGCTCTATTTTGATTTGACTCTTGCTTTCAAAAATGAGACATAGCCCAAAGAAACACCAAAATACCAACCATTAGGATGCTTTTGTGAAAAAACTAGGTACTTGATAGGGTTAGATCTACTCTGTAATTAAAAATTCAGGGGGAAACCATAGAATCATAGAACTAGAAGAAATATTTAAGACCAATTGGGCATATTTCCTTCCTCATAGCTAAGGCAAATGAGGTTAAATGGGGTGTGGTGACCCACCCAAAGGCATGTGGCCAGTCAGCAACATGGCTAGAACCCATGTCCTCAACTCTTGACTGTGCAAATCAATGAAGTTGATTTTCTTAGTGTTTAGTTGCTACCCCTAACATTAAATATACAAGTGAATGGTAGATTCTCCATATAAGTTCATGGAGCATTAAGTGAAATCTCCAGAAAAAGAGGAAAATTCATTGAGAAAACTGCTAAATTTAATATTCACAGTAGCAAGACACCAAAATTTCACTTGAGTACAACTTTCCATTCCCTATTGCCCCACAATGATACAATAAACCCTGGCAAAAACTGGCATATTTGAAGTTGTGTTCACTTGTCCAGGTCATCAGGATACCACTCAGTGGGTTTTAACTAGTGGTCTTATATTTTCTGGTTCCCCAAATGTCTCATAGTCCCTAAAGAAATCTGCCTGCTTTATAAAAATACCATAAATTCTCCTGTCATTATTTAAAATTAAAGCTCCAAAGGGATCTTCAAAGACACTATGCTTGAATTGAAATCCTATAAAACCATGTTTAAAATCATTTTAATAATACCTTAGAAATGAATCTAGAAATTGTTCATATAAAAGAAATACAAAATGTTCTTAAAGCCATCTCCACCATCCCCAGTATTTCCACTGTATGAGAGTCTAATTTGCTAATTAGACTGATGATACCTGTCTTCATTGTGAGTCATGGGTAATTAGAAATTACATCTGAACTACTGAAAGAGAATGGACCCTTCACAAGGGCAGTCAACCAGATCATTATTCTGAGGCAAAGCAACTTAATGATTACTGCAAAGTTCAAACTAAAAGAATTGATTTGAACAATTAGGGGACTCTATTTGGGGTCAAACCCTTTGTGCTTTGTGGATTCATACCATACAATTCTTTTCATACTTTAACATGAGCTTTGATCAGAGAAAAATACACAGAATCCGATAGTGCGTAGAGGGAAAGGAGACATGTAGAGATAGTCCTCTGCTGAGTTTCAGAGAATTTCGTATAAACTAAAAAGTAGGGAAATCTAAACCCAAAGTTGGGACAACCACTCCCAGGTAAGCAACAACCCTTTGATTCCCAAGTTAGACCACCTGGGAAGTGGCTGTCTTCTAGAACCATTTCTTGATATGCAGCTACAGAGAGTTAGTCCTCCCCAAGAGGCCCTGTTACCCTTGGGGTCAGGGAGGAAAGAAGTACCTGCAGCCCAGACCGCCAAGACCAAGACCGTACTCACAGTGGTACTTGCCAAAGAACAGTGAGGCTTAATGAAAGAACACAAACAAACACTGTTTTGGTGGGTTTAACAAATGTTCACTCTTTTCCATCCCCAATGACTGTTGTGACACCGTTTCCAGGAGACACTATGTTTCTGTGGTCCAAACAATCAGTTTACAAATAAACTTATAGAATGACAGTTGTTTGTACATTGGAGAGACAGAAGGATTTCAGAGCCTGAATAAATTACAGTAACGAGATATGGCATCTTCTTAAACGTTTATGTGAGAAACCCTGACCAAATGCAAGCCTTTCGAGACTGGCATATAGAGAGCTCTGGGATTGATCACTTGCCACTTACTCATTGCCTCTTATTGCACACCTGAGATGCAGGTCTCTGCTTTATTTCCCTAACAGGTTAGTAAGCTCCAGTCTTATTCACAGGTGGCACTGTGTTGTGCAGCCCTTTGGAATCTTCTCTGCAGCTTGCACAGGGGGGAGCAGGGAAGGGGTAAGCAAAGAGGAGAGGGGCAGAAGGTAGGCCTTTGGCATAGCACATCTGTCTTAAAGAGACAGAGACACTTGGGAGCCAGTCTTTCTGTTGAGAACCTGCGATACGGCCATAAAGTTATTTGTGTTCATTTATTGCTGGCCAAAACCTTTCATTCTTTAAATTTTCAATAAAAAGAAGATGAAGAATTATCAAAATCTCACCAAGAAATAAAAATTCCAAATTTTTCATCTTTCAGGCTGAGCATTCAAAGGCATTTCTTCAGTTAGAAATGCTGTTGTTTCCCTTCATAACTACACACGACCTAGGAGGTCTCCAATTATTGACTTAGTGAATATTTACTGAACAAGCGCTGTGAGGTCTCTGACCAAAAGCCGGACCCACCCCACCACACTCTAAGAGGAGAAATTCCCTGTATATTGTAGGTGAGGAAATTCAGGGTAAGAGAATATATTTTATATATATTCATATATTTCACTGGTACTAACCTCCCACCTAGGTCTATTCTGACTCCAAATCTGTAATCTTTGCTTTCTGTAGTCTGATCTCTATAGCTCTGTTCATTACAGGGAGAACAAAATAGAAGGAAACCTATTTTGTGCTAAAACACTCTTGTGAAAGACCCCACCAGTATTTTTTCATAGGAAAAATCAGAAAACTAAGTAATTTTTTACTTGATCTACTTGTAAAGCCTAGTTACGGGCAGTCAGAAAAAATGGAAATTGAGATTTTTTTTTAAAGATGTTATTTATTTATTTGACAGAGAGAGACACAGCAAGAGAGGGAACACAAGCAGGGGGAGTAGGAGAGGGAGAAGCAGGCTTCCCGTGGAGCAGGGAGCCCGAGGCAGGGCTCGATCCCAGAACCCTGGGATCATGACCTGAGCCGAAGGCAGACGCTTAATGACTGAGGCACAAGACCCCCCAAGATTTTTTTTTTTTGAAAGAGAGAGAGCATGCGAGCACATGCACTCACAACAGAGGGAGGGGCAAAAGGGAGAGGGAGAGAGAAAATCTTAAGCAGGCTCCATGCTCAATGAGGAGCCCAAAGCAGGGCTGGATCTCACCACCCTGAGATTATGACCTGAGCCAAAATTAGGAGTCAGACATTTAACCAACTGAGCCACCCTGGTGCCCTGGAATTTGAGATTTTTTTTAAAACACTAACATTAATAGGAAGAAATGAAAATAAAAATAAAGGCTTGTGTATAAAATTCCAACATGAGTAATTCTGACATCTGTTAAATTGGATCGCAGGGAAGGGAATCATAAATCCTTATGTGAATCCCTATTGCCACAGATCATAGGAGGAGACTTAATAATAATATCGCCTTTGATTGCACACATGCAGAGAAAGTTTGAAAATGGAACTACAGAACATACTGCATACTAAGATTCTGTTTCTGTGACTATCAGACGTTCCTTGTTAGAAACTCCAGCAAAGCCCTACTAATGCTTTAGATATGAGAGAGCGAAAGCGCGGGATGTAAATTATATGAGTACAAATTCCACAGAAAGACACCAAACACACGTATTTGGCACTAAAGATCTAAGATATTGATATATCTTATAACAGCCAGGAGGAGATCTTTTCTCTCTGTAAATAAACTATCTGATTCGATTTGGTTCCCACAGTTTGTTTTTAATTAGGCAAAGAGACATTCTCAAACTTTTGTTTTCTAATCTTAAACAGCTAAGTTCAAAATGATTGTGTAGTATCTATCCACCTTCCCCTTTTCACATCTAATTTTAACAGCAAGTCAGTCACTTTTACACTTCAAATCAGAAGCCAGATACTGAACGTCTTTATTAGTTTGCTATTACCCCGTGGGGGGAAAATTTGTTCGGTTCTTGTTGATCTGAGAGATATAATTTTTTTCTTGTGGTTTTACATACATTATTTTCAAGACACGGAAACTAGGCATGGCTTTGCTGGAAAGAGCCCTCTTGTTGAAAAAAGCTCAGATGCTGGAATGTTCATCTGACTTTACACAGCGGGAACCAGAGGGCCAGTGCCCATTGTGGCGAATGCTGGCCAGGATTAAGCCCTTGGCAGCTGGCTGGCAGTAATCTCATGGCACAGCTCTCGTGGGTCTGTGTCTTCTACCCTTCAAACAAAGGGCAGTATTTGCAGTTTAGGAAGCTTTTTGGAAAGTACAAAGTAAAAAAACCTGTGGGCCTAAAATCTTATTAGTGTCTCCCCTCGAGATGAAGAGAGGAGAAAAATGGCTGTAAGCTTGGATTCATCATTCACGTACACTTAATGCATAAACACCCCCGGATAATTCTGTTGCAATTAATGTTTTGTGTTCTTTCTCTACATTCTCTGCTTCGTTCCTAGAACACTTGAAGGATAAGTTAGAAGAATACATGGCCCGATTTTCCAAAGTAAGGATTGTTCGCACCAAGAAAAGGGAAGGGCTCATCCGGACCCGCCTCTTGGGGGCATCTATGGCCAGAGGAGAAGTCCTGACGTTCCTGGACTCCCACTGCGAGGTCAATGTGAACTGGCTGCCCCCGCTCCTTAGTGAGTACGCATACTGAGGGTGGCCTTCTGGGGACCAGCAGGGCCTGGGGAACCGCCCTCCTTCAGAGGGAGTGTGTGGCTCCCTTCTATTCAGTTTGCAATCAACAAAGGCAAGAGATCCCTTCAACAGTTTTTACAGTGATAGCTTTGAATTCTGTCTTAACCACAGCTGAGGACAAATAGGTAACTAGAAAACTGCATTAAAATTGCCATTTTAGATACTAACAACTGCACTCTAACTTAAGGTTTGAAATGGTTTCATTTAGTTTAGACATTCTCCTTTATTGTACTTATAGTGGCTAGGTAAATACTAAAGAAAAAAGTACTTAAAAACACTATCTCAGGACACCTGGGTGGCTTAGTCAGTTAAGAGTCTGCCTTCAGCTCAGGTCATGATCCTGGGGTCCTGGGATCGAGCCCCACATCGGGCTCCCTGCTCAGCGGGGAGTCTGCTTCTCCCTCTCCCACTCCCCCTGCTTGTGCTCTCTCTCTCTCTCTGACAAATAAATTAATAAATAAGATCTTAAAAAAAAGACACTATATACAGTAAGATTAAAACACACACACAGTTTAACAATTATTATAGAACTGCTAAGAAATGAGGAAAGAAAATTATTCAGCCCCAGAATACAGTTCAAGTGCAAGTGCCCTGACATTTTCATGAATCTGTAATGACAGTTCTCCTTTCCACTTCTGGCACGGGTCTAGAGCCCTAAATATATAACCCCCCAAATTTACAGAGGACCCCCTCAAGCACTCAGAGCTCCTATCCAGATGAAACATCTCTAATGCTCACAATATGGCTCAGAGTTGGGAAAGAAGAAGCCTCTCTGTCACATCACCCTTGAACTGTTAGAAACATGAAAGAACTAAGAGTCATCCAAGCTAGAAAACACATGTGTGGTTCAGTTGGAGCTTGACTATTGTGTTTTTTATTTCACCATGAAGTCTGATATAAAGTCCAGTAGTGGATGAGGAATAAATTGCCAGCCTAAAAAAAAAAAAAAAAAAATATGTTTCTAAAAGTTCTCGGTGTGCACATACTGTACTCCTTCTTATTCTTCCAGATTTCGCTAAATCAACTTTTATTGTAAATATATCCCTGGCCTTGGAGCTAAAGCCAGTAAAAATGGCCTTTACAATAAGCTGCCTCAGAAAGAACGATTTCTATTGACCACTGTGTAGGATTTCAGCTAGAACCAGCAAAGGTCCATTAGTAAAAGATGTGGGGGAGGGGGGGAAATCAATTGAAACTGTGTAGGATTTAAGACAGGAAATGACCAGCAACTAATACCCCACCGCATCACCCAATCCACACACACCTACACAGACGACTGCCCAGCCATCGTAATCAACAGGAATGTCTCAGTGCTCCTATGGCCAGAGACTCCTCTGAGCTTTTAATTAAAAGTACCTTGTCCAAGGACATAGCAATTTAGAGTTTCATCAGCAACAGTGAGATTCCTGCAAACTGAATTTGACCTATATGGTGTTGAATATTCAAGGAAGTCAGCAAAAGGCCTAATTTATTTATAACCAAAGCAATCCTAAATGCCAATTATCCAGCCTCTGATTGTTCATATGAATCTAACAGGGGGGAAAAAAAAGGAGAGAGATAAAATTAAAAAAAACCCACTTTTTCTCATTAAAGCATTTCATTTCCTGTAGGCCTGATGGATAAGAAATGATTCAAGCTCAGGATCGCTATCTTTTTTTATTTTCCTCTATCAGTGTCCTGACACATCATCCAAAATGAAAAAACTGGCGGAGCCACACAGTTTCTTGGTTCATTTTTCACCTTGGGATTATACCTGAATTTCAATTTCCCATTAAGAGTCTGTTTGTTTGATCCCTGGAAATTGAAATGTAGGCACAAGCCTTAGATGAAAAATTAGTCATGCTGCTTTCACCCTAAGCTAGAACAGCTGGATGAGAGCTGAAAAGAAATTTGAAGGGAAAGTTGACAGTTAATTTAACAGACTCATTCTCTTTGGGTCACCTTGGGACTCCTAGTTGGTCAAGGAACTTGTAAATCAACCTGATTCTGAATTTGATTGAAGAAAGTCACTGAAACCTTAATACTGAAATACCTGCCAAGGTGCTAGGAGAGATATTTTGGACACAGCAATGATGCCTCCTCTGCCAAAGACATCTATGGGGAAACACCACTTAGATAAAGATTAAAACCCATTATAAGACTTTCCCAGGTGAAAATGGATGCTCATAGGGCGCTTGCTGAAGAATCACCTGAAATAGTGCTAAAGGTCTCTCTGTCTACCAATTAGCTGAAATAATATGAAGGTAAGCTCCAGGCTATCAGAAGCCTCCTGGGGCCATGCTGTTTACCTTGCCACATACCAGCATTCCATACTCCCCTTGCCCTGTTTTATCTTCTTTCTACCACATTTCTCACCTTCAAACGCACTATGTAATTCAGATTTATTATGTATATTGATTATCTTTGTTCCATTGCTAAAGACAGGGATTTCTGTGGTTGGTCTTCACTGTTGTGTTCCCAGAACCTAGAACAGTGGCAGGCATATAATTTCTACTCAGTAAATAGCTATTGAATTGGAGGGAAGGAAGGAAAGAAGGAGGGAGGAAGGAAGGAAGGAAAGAAGGAAGGAAGGAAGGAAGGAAGGAAGGAAGGAAGGAAGGAAGGAAGGAAGGAAAGAAGGAAGGGAGGGAGGGGCAGGCAGGTATATAAATATGCAGGAGACATCTTCTACAGGATTCTGTGGCTTCCCCACCCTGCCTTATCAGGGCCACCAAATAATAATACTGAAATAACCAAAACTCATTATTTCTAAAAGATATGTTTTTTAAGATATTTAAATGTATTTTATTCCACATGCCACATCAGATGGTCCAAATAACCAGAAAGCAGATGTTCATACTTAAAAGTTCTGTCAGACAATATATTTGTTATAATAAATACCAACTGAGTGCACATTCCTGGGGAGAAAATATGGTTGGCCCCTTAAACAACACAGGGGTTAGGGGCACCAGCACCCTGCGCAAAGATTCACATGTCACTCTGGACTCCCCAAAAATTTCACTACCAATAGCCTGCTGTCAATCAGAAGCCTTACCAATCACAGAAACAGTCAACTGACACTTACTGTGTATGGTATTATGTATTATATACTGTACTCTTACAATAACCTAAGCTAGAGAATAGAATGTTATTAAGAAAATCATAAGGAAGAGAAAATACATTTATAGCACTGTACTGTATCAGAAAAAAAAATCTATAAGTGGTCCTGTGCAGTTCAAGCTCTTGTTGTTCAATAGTCAACTCTCCATCACCTGTAGCTGTTCCAGGTGAGGCAAAGTGTATAAACGCCAATTTCCTGTGCTGCTGAAGTCTCACCATAATACTATCTACATGGAAAAGGAAGGAGTTGGAACTGAAAAAGATATCACACGAGAAGCACCATGGAGAACTGGAAAGACCCCGGGCCTTAGGATTGGTCTGTTAAGCAGGAGTTGCAACCTGGGTTTTGCTATCAAAAGATGAGTGACCCTTGACAAGTTATTTAGCTTCTCTGAGCTCGGTATCCTCATTCGTAAATTGAGAATGACGATAGTAGCCACCCTTACGGGTTTGCTGGGAGCATGAGAAGTAGCAAGAGTGTAAATCACTTGGCAGTTGCTCAAAAATGTGATAGTAGCAGGAATAGGAACCGTAGTATCAGGCCAGCTAAAATATTTTTGGTTAGAATGAGAAAAGATAAAACTGTATAGCTTTGATAAACAGAGTCTATATCAAAGGACAATAGCCAAATAGAACATGGCAAAATCTCTGGTAAGCCTAAGAGCAAAGAATTCTCTGTGTGATCTATCAGCATTTAGCAGAGAGCAGCCATCATGACCATCCTAAGATTAGAGGCTAAAAAAAAAAAGAATCATGAAGTTAAATATTTACATTTTGGAACCTCCAGAAAGCAGGACGGTATTTTCTCAGCAAGCTCCCACTGTATGCTTGAAGGAACACAAGTACTGTTTATACTCCACGCATGTTGGATGCACTATAAAATGACAGATTGGGGACAGGTCAGAGCAAAAATGTGACAGAGGTAGAGCTAAATGGACTTCTGCAAGTCTCTCTGGGACATAACTTTCTTAAAGGAAAATACGACAACACTAATTGTACCTAATCACTGTCCCATCACATTAAGTCCAGCCTTGGAAGAGATTTCACAAAGCGCCCTAACAACGACAGGAAAGCAGGCTGCAAACAGCATCCCTGCATTAGGAAGGATCTGTAGGCTTCTCTTTGCTGAAAAATGATAGATGGCCTAGGCGGGCATGTCATTTCCTATTTTGTGCTTTCATTTTTCAGACCAAATTGCACTAAACCACAAAACCATCGTGTGCCCCATGATCGATGTCATTGACCACAATCACTTTGGGTATGAGGCACAAGCTGGGGATGCCATGCGAGGGGCCTTCGACTGGGAAATGTACTACAAAAGGATCCCCATCCCTCCAGAGCTCCAGAGGGCAGATCCCAGCGACCCTTTCGAGTGAGTAGCGGCTGAGGGAGGGGCCTCGGGAGAGAGGGCAGGTAACTAATTTCAGGTGTATCAACTTGGGACCCATGAGGATAATTATCTCTAATAAAATGGATGAAAACAGGTGGCAACAATATCCGCACCGTGGAGAAAAGTCAGACCTACAAGTTGTAGCAAATTACAAGCTGCACCGAATACATGGATCATCCCTTGTCAAACTTTGCTAAGCATCAGAGGAAGTGTGCAGATGTGAGAATCAGGAAAAGGTAGAGTTCCCTGAAAATGCTTATTCTCCTTGTAGATGTTCTCTCAGATGTTCTCTTCCTCTTTTCAGTTCTCTTTGTTCTTTTGCCTTTTCCCTAAAGAATCATTTAAATTAATGATTTTACTTTAAATGATATAAAATATGAAGCAGTATTTAAGCTCTGTTTACACCCTGTTGGGAATTATGAGGAAAGGTGGTGTTTCTGAGTAGGTGCTCCCATAACTTAAACTTGGGGAGTTCAATCAAATGATATATCTGGCATAAATAATCTTTGATAACCCTGCCATTAATTTAAATTCTATATAGATAAGAATTTAAAATAATCTATTGGTCTCTACAAAGTTAAGTTCTTTATTTTTTCAGTGTGGACATGAGAATTGTGCATGTCAAGAAAAAGAAAAATATATATATATTTAGCTTAGTTTGCCCAACTCTTAGGACCATTAATGGTGAATGGTGAACTTTCTCCAAAAGTCAGCCCAGAGATTGCTCAAGGCATACTATTATCTATTCCTCCAGCTGTATCCTTTTGATCACATTAAAATTTTCATAAATTTAAAACTATCATAGGGCGCCTGGGTGGCTCAGGTGGTTAAGCGACTGCCTTCGGCTCAGGTCATGATCCTGGAGTCCCGGGATCGAGTCCCACATCGGGCTCCCTGCTCGGCGGGGAGTCTGCTTCTCCCTCTGACCCTCTTCCCTCTCGTGCTATCTCTCATTCTCTCTCTCAAATAAATAAAATAAATAAACAAACAAATAAATAAATAAATAAAACTATCATATATTTTTTCTTAGGACAAGAAGAATGTCTGTGATTGAGGCTTTGCATACTTTCTAAGGGTCTGTTTAAAATGTGTTAAAATCAATATTGTCTTTTCATTAATAATATGGGCAGTAAAAAGTTTGCAGTGGTGAAGCTCCCAAGTATAAAAACCACTTCTGTAACACTAACCCTTTAAGCCACAAAAAATAATGCGATAAACATCAAGAAAATGCTTCTTGCAATTCTAGTCTCTGGAAAGATAAACTCTCGGGAATGCTGAGGGGATTTCAGAAGACATTAGCCTGATGAAAAGGGAGAGGTAAAAGATGTCTTTTGTAATATGAAGCACACTTATCAAGTATCCAGAATTTCTGAAGGCCTCTTCATACTCTGAAATGGCTGGAGAGTTGTTGAGAAGAAATAATAAAGGCCCGTTGCTACTCTTCCAAATGCTTTGGCCAAGATTTCAAGGATATTCAAAACTACTAGAAAAGTTCTTTAGCAGTGGAAGTTCCAGTAAGCATTTGAAGAGGGCCCAGCTGGAGAGAGAGATGTTCGTCAGGCTTTCCTGAAGTTAACCATTGGAAAGCCTTGGCAAAGGGGCCTATGGGGGATTTAAAGCCAGGTTGGGGCTTGGGGGAGGATACAAAAGGACCCTAAATATGGTGGAACTGCCATTAGATGGCAGCTGACAGGGGAACGGCCACAGTCTGGTTGCTACTCTCTGAGGTGGCCATGTTTTCAGGGCTAGAGTTCATCCAAGATGGTTTTCCAAATACTCTATAACAGTGCCTGGGTTATAATGACCTTCTACTTTACTTCCCCTGCAGTTGCTGAGTGGGGCTCCTGTTCTCGGCAGAAATGGGTTCAAAATGGTACCAAGGGAATCTCAGATGGTGAAAATTATGAAAGTATTCTCAGTTCCTGCACTGGCAGCCGAAATGGTGTGTCAGGCAGACCCTGGCTGTGGTAATCACCATACCAGGCACCTTGCTTAACCCCAGAGCTTGCAGAGTTGGTAACTTTCAGAATTAAATTACCTCTTGTTCCTGTCACCGACTTCGGTGGTTGCTCTCTGTCAAAAATTGCATTTGCCTCTTGAATACTACTGCTGTTCTGGCTTTTCAGTCCCTTTGATTCCTAGGAATGTGGACACTTTAGCCTTTTGTAATAAATGGAGCTTCCAAGAGATGTCCACTTTGATCTTAAAAATTGCATTTGCCTTCCTGATAATAAAAGAATGGTTACCCAAGCAGCTATGAGCAGTGTATCAGCAATTCCATTATCTTCATAGTCACCTGAAGGTGTTCGTAAACAGACAGACGTGCTTTAGGCTAAAACTTGCTTCTCTAGATGTAAAGCTTTAAGATACACAGTGAATGCAGTCTATCTAAATATCTCTCACATGGACTTTCATGTTTCGGGTGGCTTCTGTCAGGGGTGTGTGGTTTTCTCTGGAAGGCGGGGAGAGGAGGCTGAAAAGACAAGAAGAAAGGAAGTGAAGAGGAATATGTAAATGCATTGCAAACCCCAGGACTTTTCATGCAGTATATATGCAAACTTTATCTTTCTGTAACTAGCTTATAGAATGCCTTAAAGTGGCAAAACCTCCATTCTCTCATTTATTCTGTCATTATTTCAGTTTCCAGCAACTAACTACTGACTATGGTAGTGGGTTTTTCTCATCTGCAAATTCTGTGAAATTAGTGGGGCATGAACAGTAATTATTAATGAACGGAATTGAAAATTTCAGGGTATTATACCAATGCATAAGTATAAGTGTTATTTCTCAAATACTTGGCTTCAGTTATAATGCATATATGGGTCAAGGTATAAACTGTATTTCTCAATATAGGTTACATGGTCAGAAGAATTCAGAATCTATCAACTTCCTAAAATGGGAATCAAGATCCTCCACAGTCTGACTAAGGAGGAAAAGGAAAACTTGCAGATAACTTCAAACACTAAGAAAAAGATTTACTTACATTTGCAAAGGGATCTGGTTTTCAGACAAACTGCTCCTAGAATGTGAGAGAAAATGCAATATTCATAGTTCAAATTATTATATGGCAATCACAATTCTAATTGGATTGAATACATCTGAAAAAATTCTTGTCTTCTGAAAAAAAGAATGCAGTACCTGCCCCCTTTCTGATGGCTTATATCATGATGTGATGCTTTTAGGAAATTCTTATTTGTGGATTTATAAAGTTTCCTTATTCCTGGTTTATCTCTAATCCCAGGCACTTAGGAACGTGAGCCTTTTCTGTGACAAAACGTAATATGCTCCTTTAGTCATGATGAAAAAGAGGAAGATGTTCATTTGCTTTCTGATCACTAACTTACTTCTCCAACCTTATCTCAGCCTCTAAAAGTTTAGAAAAGACCAGAAGAAATTATCTTATCCAATTTCCCTTTAATACAAGCAACTACTAAATAATGTCCAAGAAAGGTGACTGGCCTCTTCTTGAACTTGTGAGGAAAGTAATATTTGCTACCTCAAAAGACAGTCCATTCCATTAGATTTATTGACAGAAACTTTTTCCCTTACATTAGGAAATCTGCTTTCCTAATCCCAAATTCTCCTCCTTGAGATACAAGGAACGTCTAATTCCTCTTCGATGATAGAGCTGTTAAAAGTATTTTAAAACACCTGCTATGCTTATTCCTCCAAAGGGGAAAAAAAGGAAACTTTTTTTTTCCTTTTCTGGGTTAAATATCCCCATACCTTTCAGGTCCTCCAGAATCCTGCGAAAATTCACATGCTCAATGATGTAAATGTTCAATATAGGTAAATTCACTTTACTCCTGCAGCCTCGTCCACGTTTCCCCAACTTCTTCACAAGGATAGCATGAAATAGCCCATCTACTGTATCAAGGACTCAGGCCCTAATATATCAGTCTGTCAATCATAGAAATAAAGTTAATTTCTAGGGAATTTGCACTCCCCTGGATATCATGCTTCCTTTTGCCTAAGTACTCATGATCAATTCAGCAGCCCATTCAATTTTCAACCTTGTAGAAAGTCTTTGACTTGTAGATAAATTACCTTTATTCCGTCAATCTTCCTCTGGCAGATCTCCACAATTCCTCAAGGACTTCTAAAACTTGGGCATTTTAACCATCATGACTGGAACTCTTGTACATGGTCATTAGAGAGGACAGACATTTTCTATTTTCCACCCATATATACACCAATTTCCCAAATTTTAAGAATAAGGATATCTACACCAGGGGGGAGGAGGGATAATAACCTTACAAGCTACAAATGCTCATTTATTCTCTCAGAAACCCCTATGTATGCAGACACATCAGTGTGAATGCAGTGACTCCTCATCTAGGCCAGTTACCTAACCTAGAAATACCTCAGAGCATGAGTAGTGATGCCCTTCACAGGGTGTGAGTGCAGCCGAGATCTAGCCAGTACGCTGCTCAGAAGGCCATGGACCCAGGCTTAGGCTGACCAGCCAGGAGGAAAAGGGGTTCTTTCTCCTTTGGTGGGTACAAAAACCTCACTTTATTAATGCAAAGAAGAGAACAACAGATTGAGAAAAAAGTTACTTGTTGCCAGGAATAAACAACAAGTTTTGTCAGATCTGACAGATTACATTAATCGACGTTCAGAATTTAAACATCCCACTTAACATCCAAATTCCAGTGGGAATTGAGCAGCACCTTAGTTTTGCTCAGAATTTGAAAGTAAAGATAATCTCTTTTACTCAAAACTTTTTCCATGTGGGTTTGGACCAAATATTGGTCAGCCTGAACTGAATCAGAATTAGTAAGGAATAAAACTGACTCCCCATGGAAAAAGGGACTGGTCAAACCATGGATGTACTGTAGGATGTAAAGAAAGAAAGGTAACTTTAAAGGTCTTCTCCTCTTGGATTGAATCAGGTATTGCTCATTTTCCTTTTTTTCTGTCCAGCCCCTATTGGGCCACCTTTAAACCAGGACCATCTGTTTGGTAGGGTGGGAGAATTTTTTTTCATACTCTACTTCTCAAGCTAAGTCAATATTCTCATGAATTTTGCTGTGATCTCCAAGTTATTGCTTCCAAACTTTGCCCCCTTTCCTCAAAAAAATCCAGCTGAGGCACACAAATTACCATAGTCTTAGGTACCTTGGCCTCAACATCCTACCAGTCAAATCTCTATGAATGGGGCTTTAAAACTGTAGTTTCAAACTTGAGGGGATTAGGTTGAAAAATACATTCATCAATTTAGTCCAGTGATGAGTTCCAGGAGTGAAATAGGACTTTAGCTTTCCAGTACCTCAACCACAGATCTTGCCTGAACTTTACATTATTCCAGAAGCCAATTAATCTAACCAAGTAACCTGCCTCATTAAGCCTATGTAATATGCAATATAAAACCTAACATTTGTCTAGCATTTCACACTATGTAAAGCACTTCACCACATTATCTAATTGATCCCTTGTCATAATGCGTGGCACAGGAAAAAGTAGCTATTGTTATTTTTCCAGTTTTGCAAATAAAGAGACAGTGGAAGAAAATTAACTAATAAGAGGAAACATCAGGACTTCAGTCGACATCTTCATTTATTCATTCAGATCTCAAATTTTAGGTTTACTCAATCTCATAGGATTCAAATCAATGTCTTTTTTCATTCATTCAGACTTTAAATACTAGAGCTAATCAATACTTTTCCTCTCCTTTGAAGAGACACTTAGGCACCCATTAAGTGAAATAGTTTTATAAATTAATGTCTCATAGTGAGTCTGTAATGAGAGCAAGAAAGGAACCAGATTGCCTCATGGCCCGTACTGTGCTCTTACCGGTAGACCAAACTAGAGCTGATAGGTTGAAAATGTCAGCTTTCAGTTTCTTCCTAATGAAGGGAAATGTCGACAATCCTGGCTTCTGGTCTGTTTATAACAAGATCTAATTCAATATTTGACAACCGCAAAAGGACAAAATGTTTAGGGAAAAATACTGTCAAATTCCTAAATGGTGTCCTAACTGCAGAGGGTGAGAATAAAGGAACAGAAATGGCTCAAGGGTCTTAAAAACTAATTAAAACATTGAATAAAATCAATCTTCCTCAAAAGCCCAGAATGAAACCCCACTGAAGATTTTTTTTAAACATGAAGTAAAATGTTGTAACCTGACAGAGGTGTTTCACAGCAAACTTGTTTATTACACGTCTCTCCCCTTTGAAGACCCCTCCCCATCCCTTGCTCTCTCCTGGCTCTTTGCCGGCCATAGTCCTGGGTCTCTGGGGTAAACACCATCTGATAAACAATTCTCACCAACAGGTCATGAGAATATTTGTCTCTTGTCAGGACTGCTCACCAGAAAATGACTTTCTTTCCTCCCCCTCCAGGGGAAATGATCTTTGCCTCAGGAAGATGATCCCTACTATTTTCTCCTTGCTTCAGCATCCAGAAAAGCGTTAGCAAATTAATTCCTAAATCAACAATCACTGCCATTATTGTAGTGGTGCGGTCCTGCTCTTCTTTCCTTTGCCCTGCTCTCTTGAGATCACAGGTTTCTGAGGAAGCTCTGGCTCTGCGATGCCTCTTTCTGGTTTCTGAGCCTGGCTTTGGACTTTTGAACCTTCTGTTTCTGCCACCACTCCCATGACAGTTCGCTGAATCACAGGAGACCCGGCAGGTTATACTGTTTTGAAAGGAGGTGAAACCCTAGTCCTTCATCCTGAGAGAGATGTTTATCCCTGTTCACCAGTCACTCAGGACTGTGGTCCCAGCAGGACCCCAGAAAACCCTGGCTCTTCTCTACCCAAACCTTACCATGACTTTTGTTCTAGCCCCCTCCTTTTTCTATGGTAACAGCTCCTCTTGAACCGTGGACTTCCAACTCTTATTCCTGGTCTTGCTTCACTACTGCCAGGTTAGTTAGCCCCTGTATAGCCAGACTTGAGACTGAATTTTTCATCTCAAGCACCCCTGGGCAGAATCGGCCAATCACCCCTAGACCTCCAGCGTCATCCAACAGTTATCAATAAAACTGCACCACTTAAGACTTAGCAATGGCTTCCTATGTGTCAAAGAATTATGGAGCTCACAATGGGTTGATGACCTTTTCTTGTCCATTTACCTATTCTTTCAACAATTAACCACTTTGCTTGTTTCCCAAATGGGTGGCCTGAGTCCATCTTTCCATCTCATGTGTGATGACTCTTTTCTTTGTCCTTCCCCCACTCGCCAAGATTTGACATGATTCTACCTACATTTACCTCTTATCTGGATAATTTTATGGGTTCTGTGCTCTGTGATATAATCACCCTCTGACCAGATCTCCTGTTCGTGGGCCCCCAGCCTTCTCTCACCAAAGTTCTACTAGCATTTACCTGAGGAGAAAACCTCCATGAACCTCTGAAAGTATTGTCACAGCCCCCTCCCGAGTCCCCAAGCTTCAGCAACATTTACCCTAGCCATGACACCATCACACCAGAGTGTGGCAGAACATAACAGAACCCTGTGCCATCACCCAACTCTCTCCTTCTCTCCCAGAAGACAGGAATATAGACCCAACGCCTGTGCACAGTCAGCTTTGTTTTCTTACCTGAGGCTTTCCCGCTAAAATACCTGTTCCAGTTCTGCTGTCTTCTTCACTTCCTCCTCCAGACAACCACTCCCTCTTTCCCCCTCTAATTACTGCTAACTTGGATACCAGAATGGAAACTCTGTGAGGGCAGGAAAGACTGTTTTATTCAATTTATTCTGCCCTGCATCACTAATACCTACTCTCTGCCCATAACAGGCACTCAATAAATATTTATCAAATGGATGAAATAAATATTAAGTTCAGGAAAGGAAATGATCTCACAGGGCTGTGTATACAAGTTCAGGAGAGGAAATGATCCGACAAGCCTGTGTATATTTGAAGAAGAGGTGAGAGTTTTTCAGAAAAGGATACCGGACAAGGAAATGCTGTGGCACGGTATTTGCCAAGCACCGTATTTATAGGGTTTCCCCACACAGACTCATTTGAATACAATGGTAATTCTTGTAGAATGGTAGAAAATAAAGAAATTCTGGTTGAAACCAAACTTCAGAAGGCTTTTTTTCTGCATGTAGAAAGAAGAGAGATGGTAAAGGAATGTTTTAGGAAAAGCTGTCTGGTAGCCGAAGGCCTTCCTGGAATAATTTATATTATAAATGACAAAATCATTTTTAAAACCACAGTCCAGAAGATAACAAAATCTTTAACAAAGAAGCAAGTTCTCAATAAAGTAATGATATTGATCTTTCAGTTCTATCTATTTCTAACAAACACCAAGATGCTGTAAGAATCTTGGGCTGCCTAGGGATGCCTGGGTGGCTCAGTAGGTTAAGCATTCGACTCTTGATCTCAGTTCAGGTCTTGATCTCAGTTCAGGTCTTGATCTCAGGGTTGTGAGTTCAAGCCCAATGTTGGGCTCCATGGAGCCTACTTAAAAAAGAAAAAAATTTTGGGCTGTCTAGATTCTAGACAACACCTACAACCCAATGGGAGCAGCGTACTATGAGCAGGATGCCCAAAAGGCCAATGCTTGAGCACAGGGCTGGAAGGACCAGTGGACTTGGCAAAAATTACAGTCTTAGAACTGGGGGGTAGATAAGCCTAACAAGCCTGAACAACATACACAAATCTGAAAGTCAAGGTAAGAAACAAACCCTTACATGTAGTGTTCAGAGGAAGCCTTGAATGTTTATATTGGAAAAAATGATGAATAGTAAAATCTGTATCCAGGAGTCAGTTGGCCATGGCTTGATGATGCTTTGATGATACTGGGCCTGAGCAAAGAATCAGAGGAGAGAAGGGTTTATGACTTGACCCAAAGGGCTGGACAGTGGACAACTGAAAGTCTCTAGTCCTAAATTCTCTGCACAGAAATAGAACACATTCGGCTGTAAGGGCTAATGGTCAGAAACCAATTCCATGATTGTGTGTGTGTGTGTGTGTGTGTGTGTGTGTGTGTGTGTATATATATATATGTATGCATATATACACAGATATATATACATAAAATCATTATTATTATATTATACTATTATTTTGTTTTTACATTATTATAATTATGTTATAATTATGATGGTTGTATTACCATCATATATACAATGACATATATATAAATTTTGCTTGTAAATCACTTCAAATTATTTTTAAAAGAAAGTGGATACATATGAATCATAGGACCAAAAAAGGAGGCAAAGCCTGGCTTTGAGTCTCTGCTGAGGTCTTCTGAGGTGAGTTGTCTTTATTCCAGATCACATGTGGCAGTAGGTGAATGTCTCAGTCTGATCGGGTTGCTATAACAAAATATCACACATTGGGCGGTTTATAAACAGAAATTTAGTTCTCATAGTTCTAGAAACTGGAAAGTCCAAGACCAAGGCGCTGGCAGATTTGGAGGTGCTGGACGCCTGCCTGCCAGTTCACAGACAACCCACTGTGTTCTCACATGGCAGAAGGGGCAAGGGGGTTCTCTGGTGCCTTTTTCGTAAGGCGCTAATCCCATTCATGAGGGCTCCATCTTCATGATCTAATCACCTCCCGAAGGCCCTATTTCTAAATGCCATTATGTTGGGGGTTAGGTTTCATATGAATTTGGGAGGACAAAAACATTCAGTCCATAACAGTGAGAATGTGCTCAGAGATGAGTCATACATGTAACTGAAAAGATTCAGAAATGAGGCAATTCCTATCTCAACTTCTAACAAAGTTAGAGCAAAAATAAAATGCAATAAAATAAAATATAGTAATGTATTTACTCCCTTTGATATAAATAGAAATGAGTTATATTAGAAAAGCAATATACTTTTTTAATTAACATAATGTATTATTAGTTTCAGAGGTAGAGGTCAGCGGTTCGTCAGTCTTAATATAACACTCAGTGCTCATTACATCATGTGCCCTCCTTAATGTCTATCACCCAGTTACCCCATCTCCTCACACCCCTCCCTTCCAAAAACCCTCAGTTTGTTTCCTATGATTAAGAGTCTCTTATGGTTTGTCTCCCTCTCTGATTTAGTCTTGTTTTATTATACTTTTATTAGCTTACCTATAACGAAGTAATTGGTCTTTATTGTTCAGTGTTCCAGTGATCTATTTGTTGTCCAGGAGCAGCACCTACAGTGAGGCCACATTCACAGAGACAGTGGTTTTAGTCAAGACCATCATTCCTCCCTTCAAAGAAGTAAGCAATGGTTATAATGCCAAATGGCAGGGATAAGGTTTAGTTTGTTTTCTTTTCTTTTCTAGTATTTTTTTTTTTTTTGGTCTCATATTTCTTGGGTAGATCCATCTGGAAATATGTTAAGGAAAAGAAAATGTCTGTTTTTGTTTCTCGGAGTGCCAGTGGAAATTGAATGAAATGAACTTTGAGAAAGGGAGTTACACAGCATAACTCACTGGAAAGGCAAAAGCCCAGCCATCTGTCAGAGTGACGGCCTCACGCTGGCTGGGCAGTGGTGAGCCAGAGCCTTTAGGCTTCAGTCTCAGACCCAAAAGTGACCTAGAGGGCACCTTCCAGACTGAACCCTCTTCAGTTACGGAACTCTGTGGAAACACTGAGATGTCCGTTGTTTACATCTCTTCCTCCTATGTTTTGGCTTGTTCTTCCATCAGTAGGAACAAGAATGGAAGACAAAGAGTGAACTTGGCCTACATCCTGCTTGTGGAATCATCTGAGCCAGAGCAGGGGAGCAGGAGATTCACAAGGCCAGAGAGTTTTCCAGGCTGCCCTGGACTGGGAGGAAAACTTATCCAGGGCTTCCTGAAGGGGTACACAAAAGAAGAAATTGAGCAAAGAATGATAAATTAGAAGTATAAATGAGACACACCCACAAAAAGGAGTTACATCATTAGCCAGAAAAGAGGAACCAGGCCTGAATGGCATATAAGTAGAGGCTAACAGTGCAGGGCAAGGCCGTGTGTGACCAGCAAGAGAAATCTGGGGTCTGCGCTTCCATAATGTCAGTATGGGAACAGGCCTCTCCAACTCCACAAGTTTAAAAGTTCAAGAAGAAAACAGACTTGCCAAGTATTTTTCATTTGTTTCGCACTGCTCCGAGAATTAAATTTTAACTTTTTATAGTAGTAGAAATCACCATCTGGACAATAATTGGACAGGCTTCGAACATCCAGTCACAACCCAAATGCACAAAAGTGTAACTTGCATTTCTGAAACTGGACCCCAGAGAAGTTCAGAGCCCTCCTTCCATGAGAGCAAGTGGTCTACTCCTGATGTGCTTGGGGCCCAGGGCAAGAGTGCACATGAAGGTCCGGGTGGCTCATGTCTAAACAGTTAGAAGTTATAAATCAAACTAGCACACTAATGAATTTTGTTCTATCCTACTCTCTTGATAAATATACCCACAAATCAACCTGCAGGGCCAGGTGTGCCTGTGGAATTCCTCCAGAAAGTTCTCCAGGCTGTTCTGGCAGTGTGGGGCAATGCGGCAGCCCATGGCTAACTGCTTTCTCTTTCTGCTTGTTCTGCCTGCACCTTGACAGCCCATGAGCACATGCGGGTTGAAGCCCACATGTCCTATTCCACCCACAAAAATAGCCATCCTTTGGGCACACCTGAGCTTGAGGTATAAACTCCTAGCCACAGAAGGGAATCAAAGAAGATGTCACAGGCCTTAGAAGCAGGCTTGGAACCCTCTGTACAGGGAATAATGCAGAATCCAGGACATAGTTTGTAAGAGGTGTGCAGGGGTGCCTCTCTTGGCCCCAAGGGTGGCCCATGCTGTGGGGAGGGGAGCATCCAAAGTTGCTCAACGCATAGGCTCTCCCTCCTGGGTCTGAGGGCACTAGACAGCAGTGAGCCTTTGATCTCACCAAGAAGACACCTTCTGATCCAGGACTTGGTCTCTTACAAATGAGTTCCCTGTCAATTTTCAGTTCAAACCCAGTCCATTCAAAAATCTAATTCCATATCAGGATTGTTTTCCTTTCCAAATTGCTCAGCTCAGATTTCTTCTAGTCTCCTCTCTGGGATGGCATCTTGGTTCTAGGGATAGTCATGGTAAGGGACATGGGTTTGCTGAAATTTTATCTTTTTTTGTTAGGCCCCCTGGATTCAGACTGAATGAGCTGATCTTTAAAAAGAGGCTTTTGTTGGGGCGCCTGGGTGGCTCAGTCGGTTAAGCGTCTGCCTTCGGCTCAGGTCATGATCTCGGGGTCCTGGGATCGAGCCCCGCATCGGGCTCCCTGCTCAGCGGGGAGCCAGCTTCTCCTTCTCCCTCTGTCCGTCTGTCTGCCTGTGTGTGATCTCTCTCTCTCTCTCTCTCTCTCTCTCTCTCTCTCTCTCTGTCAAATAAATAAAATCTTTAAAAAAGAGAGAGAGAGAGGCTTTTGTCCTCCCTGGACACCTTGCTACAGTGTCCACAGCTGTCACATCTCTGTCTGTGTCTTGGCGTGAAATGACCCCCCTCCCTTTGACTCAGCCCTATCTAAGTTCTAAGTTCTTGGTCAGTGCTAGTCTTGGAGACCCAGCTGCATGCTCTAAATGATCCCTAACTTTGGCTTGTTCAGCCCCAAACCTCGGAGATGGGTCCCTTCCTTACATTGTGTCTGTTCTGTCTGGTGTTCTAGATTTCAGGTCTCATTTATGTACCTCTTGTCCCCTTTCCCAGACATGCAAGAACATCTGGCTGTCCTCCACATACATGCAGGCTATGGGACTTGGAATATTTTCTTCCAGTTTTATTTTTAAAAATTCCCTAGAAGTTATAGATAACTAAACAAAATCTGAGAAACTAAATTAAAGAAATCAAATTCCGTAAACTGTGCTGAGTCTAAAAAATAAACCAACTTTAGGAGGCTGAGATAACTCTTTGAAAGACACATGCTCCGGTAAATATTTGTCTGTCTAGGACTTCTTAACATTCAAATAAATTCCACGGAAAGACCATTTTCTCAATTGAGGTTACAACAATAACCCAGATAATTTCACCTTAACTAACATAGTGTAGTGAACTAAGTATAGCGACAAGAAATTCATTAGGACTACTGCATAAAATAAAACAGGTAAAAGAGAATTTTACCTATGGATCCTCTTTTGGTTTATATTTTCAAGTGCAAAATATAAAGGAATTCTTAGATAACAAAGGCTAAATTTTCCTACCTGAGAAAATGTCTAAGAATGATGGGCAGTGAAAAGACGACCGATAGATCAAATCTTTAGAAACACCCTATCTTTTCAACTTGGAATTATTGTAGAAATTTAACCTAGAATGAGACTCCTGTTGTTGCAATGCTAAAGTGAGCCTAAGAGTCAAAACTGCAGTTGGCACAGGTTATTGTTTGTGTTATACTGCCACCTGCTGGAAGGAAAGGTAAATTGTTTTAAAAGAAAGCATTGAGAAAAGGTCAAAATCCTGGGCTTTGCAAAGGAGGTTTTGACTCAAATTAAAGGTAATGCACCCTGCATAATCCAGACAAATAAACCCCAGGCGGAATGTCCAACGTGTCCCAAGTTGAAGAAGGACAAAATAAACCCTGATTGTAAAACCATCAGACAGCCCACACTGCCATTATTCACAGGTGAGTTAATATAGTGACAAAGTCTTTCTGATGATCTCCTCTCACAGAGCTCTCTTGAAAGAACAGGGGGATGGAAAAAAAAAAAAAAAGGTAGATCCCGGACACAAATGGGTGGCACAAGAGGTAGAAAACAAGACTGGGAATCAAAAGGCCCAGGTTCATTGATTTGCCATATGATTAACGAGAATCCGCTGTGCAAGCCTCGGGGCTGCAGTTAATATATTTTGATCTAGAACTCCAGCATGGTATGACAAAATTGCAGCCTTGTCTCTACTCTCCCTGTCTGTCTGCTGACGAAGACAGAGACATAAACAAACACCTACAAGCATGGTGATTCATCCGAAAGTGGATGCTTGTGCAAGCTCCTTGGAGTTAATCTGCCAAAAGGGACTGGGGCCAAGAAAATCGGAGGGAGTAAGCTCTGGGCGGCACTTTGAAAGATCAGCACTCAAAGAGGAAGGTGGGAGGAGAGAGTTCGCAAGGAGAACAAAGGACTTTCTGGGAAAGGACCCTCGGAAAAGCACTAGGGAGAAATGGATGGGAAAGAGGAGCAGGCTCCGGTCAGTCATGAATGGCCAAGGTCAGCCATCATAGACGTTAAGCGTGGCCAGACCCCAGGTTGGTCATTCCCTTCATTTGTCATCTTGGAAAATTACTTCCCTGGACCTGATCAATAAAACACAAGGATATTGGCCTTGGTGGTTGCTGAGGTCCTAAAGCCATTGCACTGGGGGGCAATTCTAAGCACAAAAAAAAAGTCTAAAGTGATGTGAGGTTGTCTTTCAAGAAACTGTTCGCCTCCGAGTGAGGATATACATGTCAGAGGAAATGTTCATATATCCCATCTCCCAAACCTTAGGATCCACAAGACAAACCCAAGTAGAGATTTTTTTAAAAATTATTAATCATCATTACAAAAATGGCTCATGTCATTTTTTGAGCTCCTGTAACTGCCAGTTAATGCCCTAGAGGTTTCACTTTTTTGAATTTGGTCCTCACAACTGTCTTTTTGCTAATAATTCTTATTATCTTCATTTACCTGATGAGGACATGGAGGCTCATGGAAATTGAGTGACTTGCTCAAGGTCACACAATTAAGTGACAGCAGTGAGATTTGAGTCTAAATCCGACACCAGAGCGACTCCCAGATGCTTCACTATTTCTCTACTATACAAAAGCAATAATGCTAAAATCTGCCTGTTACACCGTGTGGTAACAGTGGGAAGTTAATTCTTTACTTCCAGGTCTTCAACAAGGTGAAACTGGGATTTTACACAGAGAGAGAATGAAGTTACACCGATGTGCCTTTCCTGTATTACTAGCTTGCTGAAATATTTTAAATTGGACCCTCCTAATGCTTTTGAGACTCTAAAGTGCTTTCTAGTTTAACATTTTTTACTAGCTCCACCAGTAACGACCCCCAATTTAATGGGCTGTGTGTGTGATAAAGCTGAAATTACTACCATTCTCTCTAAGCTGCAAAGAAATATGACTTATACAAAAATGCCTCTCTACAGAGTCTACATTTGCTGAGCAGAACTAACCCTGGGCCAGTTCGTGGGCGGCTGGCCTCCTCAGCTAGCGTGTGACTCAGGCCCAGGAATAGACAAGTGCCTCTCCCTGATATGCTTCCATCCTACTAGTGCTGCTCCCAGCACTGGGTGATGGTGTGGGTGGGTGGTGAGAGAGGGACTTTGTCTGGGCCTTGTTTCCATAGAAACCAAACCTTACTAGATCTCTTCAAGGAGAGAGGATAAGATCAGCCCTTAGCTGGGATGTTAAGGAATCACTTCTTCCTTATTCCCCTCCCACATCCTGTTTCTTCATGCCCACACCTGCTGAATAACCACCTGTACCCTGGCTGAGGATACCCCAAGTGTTCCTGAAGGACCCAGCTTGTGCCGCCATCAAAACTCTCCTACTTTAGGGTGCCTGGGTGGCTCAGTATCGTTAAGCGTCTCTGCCTTCGGCTCAGGTCATGATCCTGGAGTCCCGGAATCGAGTCCCACATCGGGCTCCCTGCTCAGCGGGGTGTCTGCTTCTCCCTCTGACCCTCTTCCCTCTCGTGCTCTCTCTCTCTCTCATTCTCTCTCTCTCAAATAAATAAATGAAATCTTAAAAAAAAAACTCTCTTACTTTAGTATGGGTTCACCTTTCTCCTCCTCCATGAATGCCCATTCCTTTAATGTGATTAACACTCAATAGGGTATTTGATGTTAAACTATGCATCTCTAAAGGAACGATTTACCTTCTAGAACCTGGATGCTTAGTTACCCAAATGAATCCCTCTGAGCACATATAGAGAGGGTAGGTATGTTTCTATAGGCATCTTCCCTAAGACACCAAAATGTTTTTTCAGATACTGACAAATGAAATGTCATATTACTTCAAAATAATATTCAAAATACGGTCGCTATTATTAACGGTGATGCCTTAAATTTTGTCTAGTAACTTACAGTTTACAGAATAATTTCATAGGTATTATAATATCCACTTTACATGTGAGGAAACAGGTAATTAATGTCTTATTCAAAGTCACATGGTCAAGAAAAGCAAAACCAAGAACTTCTAACTCGACGCTTTTTCCATTAATGAGAAATGCTATTTAACCAGTGTTCTAAAAAGAAAACAGGAGATTTAGGTGGTGAAGTATGCTGCTCAAAACCAGGAAGAGAGGAAAATGGGCTGCTCCCAAAGTCACCTTCTAACCAACTTGGCATCCTGTGTGCTTAGCTCAGGACCTTCCCATTCCAAGTGACCAAAATGTAGCTCAGGCCAGCCTCAGTAGAAAGGGAACTCCCTGGACCCATAAAACCCAGTGGTAGGAAAGGCAAGGGCCTCACTTCTACAACAGCAGGACCTGGACCTTGAACACCATCTGGACTCACTTCTGTCTCTGGTCTCGGCTTCTCTCATCCGTATGGCCTCACTTCCCCAGGCCGCCAGACAGCAGAGAACGGTGACCACAGACAGTGCTTGTCTCACCACCTTGCGAAAGACATGACTTGTCCCAGCCTGGCTCATGGTTGCTCCTGGCCCAGTTATTGCTGCCGGAGTGGATTGGCAGCCCCATAGAACCACATGGGGTGTGTGTGTGTGTGTGTGTGTGTGTGTGTGTGTGTGTGTGTGTGTG